TTGAAATTAAAATCAGAGCCACATAAAACTTCACATCATGTGCTCGATCTATGAAGAAAAATAGAAATTCGGGCCATAAACAGTACACAGGTACCTGGAAAAAGCATTCTGTCCCTTTTCACATTTTGTTCTCTAAGATTGTTGAACTTGATTAAATTGCATTTCTCTTCATCTACAAAGACTCAAGCACCACATCGAATAATGGTCAAAACCTCTGAAGACTTAAAACTTGAAAGACAGTTGACGATGCATTATTGTTTCCCACTAGATGTGGAACTTTAAAAAAAAAAAAAATTGATTACCCAGAGTCATTATTCTTTCTGAAAGGAATCAAAGAATCGCACGAGCAGAGCTTTTCTAACATCTAGAAGTTCAACAAGTGGACACCTTGGCATTGTAGGTATTGAACCTTTGACGTACAGATATTTTAAATACAACAACATGGCAAGCTGGTGAGGAGTTTGCAGAGGCAGGGACAAACATTTAGAAGCATGAACAGGAAACATGTCAGAAATAACGGGTGCACGGTTTAGGAAAAAAAAAGGGACAAATATGCATTAACTATGTGAATACGGTAACGTAACAGGAGTGGCTTACAATAAGAAAAATATTGGAATATTGACCTTATTCCCTTTGAAAATCTGAGACAAGACTACAGCGCTTTTGTCCACCAACGTTCTGTAACTGAACTGATGCAGCCTGAGCAATTTTGCAAGGAAGAATGAGCAAATATTGCTCCATCACAGTGTGCAATTTGTTTTTTTAGAAAATGACAAAAACACTACAGCACTACAGGTCAAAGGTTTTAGAACACACCCCCATTCACAGCAGTTCAAGGCCAGTGAATAAACTTAAATTGTAAAAAGGTTACTGGTAAACTGCCCACAGAAAAAAAAAAATCAATTAAATCAGTCAATTTCATAGGAAGGACTTTTTGTTAAGTAAATAGGTTTATCTGCAGCTTTCCAAAGGAAGTAAATTATGATGAAGAAGTACTGTATATTGCTATCAGAGTGGTGAGAAAAAGGTAAAATATAAAGGAAGACAGACTTTGATTGGTCAGAGGTTACAGCAAGATAATCACCCAAATCATTAGAGGAAAAGAATCGGAGACTTCAGCTGATGGAAGAGCAGCACAGTCTAAAGAATCAACTATCTGGAGCTGGACAGAAGGTGAAACTTCTGCAACAGTGTTGAGACAAACGTTGCCTGCATTGTTTTAGTTTCTGCTGTAGAAAGAAAGCCACAAGTGTGTTCAGTTCCCAAATGAGTCAAACTGTTTAAATTAGATTCAAAACTTCAATCTTTTAATTTATTTGACAATTCAATTTCAGAAACATTGTGAAATTAAATTAAAAAAATTAAATTACTGTAGAAATACAGCTGCAATAGTGGAGGTGTTCTAAAACCTTAGATTGTTAGTGTAGCACTGCAGGAAGTATATGATTCAGCCAAGTGACCAAGATGCACACACTAAAAGGATATGATAGTTGTTATTATTTCATGGTTAGAGCGTATTTAAAAACTAAACCATAGTTTTATTTTTTACTGGATTATTCAGAACAACATGACATGAAAAAGTACCTTTCTAATGGATCAATGTCTCCTGGCTGCGAAACAACTTAAAGGTGACAAAATGAAGAAAAACTAAAAACAAGGGAACACTTTCAGGGCACTATTAGCTTGTCGTGACACTGCTGTACAAACTTAATAAACATGCAAGAGTAAAAATGAAAATAACTCAAATATGGCAAGTTACACAATGTCGTCCGAGAATGCTCTGCTAAAGCACAATTCGCTTTTACAAACAAAATCGAAAAACACACAAAATATGCCCATGTGAGCAACACTGCTTTGATTCAACGACAACGAACCCTAATGAAAAATCTGACTATTGACCTTTCAGCTATTGAAAAATGCCATGTCAAAGCATCCTCATATATTTTGAGCATACCAAAGACAGATGACCTGTTGTGTGGAGTCTCAAACCAAAACTTCATCCTTTTCATTCTCGTGAAACATCTGTACCTGAAAAATATATCATGTCATTCCATTCATGTAATACCACACCTAGCCTGAGGTAAAAAGGAAATCTCCTGTGACCGGATATGGATAAAACAATGCTACAGCTGATCAACTAATACAGCACTGACAAGTTTCTTGTCACTGTTGATCATTCACTTCAAGAATCAAATGCCCGAACCTCAGGAAGTCACCAGTGTTTTCTTTGCAAAACTTTCTTTGATTGAATTTTGGTCATGCTTTAACAGAACCGTGAATTAATCATATATGCTTATTTTTATATGCACAAATACACAGTTGAAGGTGGTCGGACACCAGAATGATGAGTAATGGTTGATGTTGAGGCGGTTATGATAAATGAATAATAAAATGAACCTTTAAAACACACTCGTGAAACAGACGACAGACGTCTGGCAAATTTCAATGTTGAAATTTTTAACCAAATAAAATCCCTTCTGTTTTCCTAAAGCCTATATTACAAAATGTGCAATAACAGCTGATACAATCTATCACTCTTTGTGCCACTTGGAAATTGAGAGTAATATTAGTTTTTACGTTTTCACAAATAATTATGACTTGAAATAAGGGAGGATAATCAACAGTGGCAAAACAGAAAACAACTGAAATAAGCTAAAAAGATGAGGACGTGGTCTAGTATTTTTGTGTCGCAGCACGAGTGGTGTCTGCATAATGTGCCTGTGTATAGGTTAGTGCTAACTGCATGCAGGATCATGGTGAGGAGGACCTCATTCAGCCGTGTGGAATGAAGGAATGAGGCGTTTATTTTGAACATGTGACGGCCTTGGCTCCACCCTAACCCTCGGGAGAGTGCAAATATCCCAAAACACACGAGCCCTGATGCGACGCCGGCCCACTCACTAGAACTCAGCAAACTCTTTCGCACACTTTTCTGTTTGTGAGACACGAATGTCCTCCTCTTCATAGTCGTCAAAGTTGCTTGTGTCTCCTGGTCCTCTGCACTTGGGCAAGAAGGGCGCTTCAACCTAAAAAATGCACATTGCAATATTTATTTGGGAGAGATACTTATTATTTACAACGATGAAACCAAGACCTACCTTTCTCTCGTAAACGGCGATCCAGTCTGTTGCGGAGAACCACTTGTGATTTTTGATGTCGTTCACGCCATTCTTCAGGTTGCCAAATCTCTTTGTCAGGTCGACCTGAAGCAGATTTCTCAGCAAGTCTTTCAGGTCGGAGCTAAAGTGAGAGGGGAATCGTACCTACAAGATTGAGAAAAAGACCGAAAATTATGGTTGAAGTTCAAGCATTAAATTATTAAACATATCGGCGCTTTTTTGGCTAAACCGCTGCACCTTGCCAGACACAATCTTCTCGTAGATCTGGATAGGCTGATCAGCAAAAAAGGGAGGATACCCAGCCGCCATCTCATAGATAAGAACTCCAAGTGCCCACCAGTCCACAGCTTTGTTGTAGCCCTGGAAGAAACAGAATGTTTTTTTTACTGACTGGATGGATCAGAAATATTAGTCAGAAGACCCTGAGACATACAGTCCAGGCCATATGTATGAACAGTTACACATGTTCTGTTCTTTGACTGACAGCCGCTCAAGCACAATCCACAGACTGACTTGCATGTCATACCTTCTTCTCTAAGCCTTTGTCGTCAACACTGTAATAAAACTCATGTTACTCTGCATAAAAAGGGTGTTGATTCTTAACACTTGTCCCAATGTGAGTGTGTGGAATTTTGAAGCTGAAGGACTGCACTGTAGGAAGATGACTGGGTAAGAAGGGCTCACCTTACTGAGGATGATCTCTGGAGCCAGGTACTCAGGAGTTCCACACAATGTCCAGGTTCTGCCTTTTACTCTTTTGGCAAAACCAAAGTCTGTGACCTGCAGAAAGAATAGGTACATGATAAGGTTATGTAGAATACATAAAGACAAAGTTAACATGTACCACACACCGGGCCACTAAGCCCATATTGCATTGTGTTGTTTTACAGCGTTTTATTGTTGAACATTTCTTCTTTAGTAGCAGACTAATGAAATATTAATATCTACTAGGCTCAGACATTCACTCTTAATAGCTAACAGACTTTGTTGATGACATAATTTCCCTCAATTTACTTTCATATTAGAAACCATTAGATGAATTTTATACCTGGATGTACCCATGTTGATCTATGAGCAGGTTTTCAGGCTTCAAGTCTCTGTAGATGAGGTCTAAGGAGTGAAGGTACTCAAAGGTGAGTACTATCTGAGCTGCATAAAATCTCGCATGGTTTTCACTGAAAGAGGGAAATGTAGAGTCAGACACTGATGAAATATATGAACACAAGCCTCTTTTGAGCAAAGAAGCAAACGCAATCATTCATGGTACAGCCAATTGAAAACTGATGTCGGCCTGAAGGCATTTCACCCATGGAATTATGATAAGTCTTTGTTCAGGGGTTATTGGCTTTCAAACTAAAAATGTAATACTTTTGATTCCTCACCTGAACCTTCCAATACGTCTGAGGTGTGAGAACATCTCTCCCCCGGGAACATATTCCATGACCATATAGAGGTTTGAGTTGTCCTGTTCAACAAAGACAAAACATTCCAGCAGGCTCACACCAACACAATGAATGGTCTCATCATATTTTATCTTTTTTTTGTTCTTGTTATCAGAAAACGTTTTTTTAACAAAGTGATAAGTATCAAAACTTATGTAAAAATGTATATTTCCACAATGCACTCATAAGTGGTGGGTGCCTGTGTGTACCTTAAAAGCGTACTCCAATCTGACGAGGAAGGGGAAGGAGACGGCCTGTAGTATTCTTTTTTCATTTAGCGTGTGTTCTATCTGCTTCAACTTTACCACCTGAAAAGAGAAGGTACACACAAGTATATGTTAAGCATAGTATACTGCTGATAATTGGTATCTGTATGGGTTTTACAATTGCACTAAATACAATGTAAAGACACATTAGGTTTTCCTGATCTCTCGCTATATCTACTTGAAGAGTAAATAGAGAGGTCTGTTATGTTTCTGCCTAATAGTAACTAAATTTATTTAAAAGCATCATTTTTAACATTTTTGGATTCGTCTTTCATTCGGCTAAGATCACCTTGCAGAGACTAACAACTTGCTCTGATAACCCTTATTTGCAACTTATTACAAACGTCTGCCTGTCTTGTGCATTCAGCTCAGAAAAACTAAATGAAAGTCGGGTGTTGAACAGCACGGCATCTAACGTAGACAAACTATTACCAGTATTAAAAGAAAATCAAAACGAGAAGTCTCACAATAAGAAATCACAGATAAGAAGGTCACCACACCAGCCTGTCTCAGTTCACAACTTCACTACAGCACAATGACGTAACACCTGGCCACAATATTTACTGAGATGAATGACCTACTATGTCTCTGCAAGTTCATTTACATAGAAGCCTGAGTGGAAAACAATGGCTGCATACAAATCAGTATAAAAATGTGTTGAGAAACAAAAGGAGGCTGATTGAGAAGCAATATACTGTGTATAGAAAAAGACTTTCAGTAGTGGAGCTGAAACAGAAACACAGATAAGCAATTTCTTACACCAGGGAACAGATCACTGCAACGCAATGAACATACTGAGGACACGACAACCTCCTCCTACAACTTTTACATCAGTATTTAAAGATCGAAACTCTCACAAAGCGCTTTGAGGTTTCCAGTGATAGCGTGCTGGCAGTGCACGAGAGGAAGCACTTCATTTCCTTTCATACACAGCATTTATGACTGTCACCACACTAATTAATAACAGTAGTTCTTATGAGATGGATAAACTGTTAAACTTTAGAAACGTATACTTACTTTTTGTTTGTCCAAGATCTTCATGGCGTAGAACTGGTTTGTTCCTTTATGTTTGACGAGCATAACTCGCCCAAATGAGCCTGTGCCCAAAGTCTTAAATCTATCAAAGTCATCCAGGCCAGTTGTGCTCTGTGGAAACACATTGGAAATGATACAGTGAACTGAAGACCAAAATAATTCAACTATGCCAGAAGGTTCAGAATGCTAAGATTTCTTATAGATGCTAATCCTAGAACAGTTTTTCTTCCAGTAGCTCAGAAAGCAACCCCCCCCTTTTTTTTTTTTTTACAGTAAATACCTCATACTAACAATTTCACTATAAGCATTCATGCCAACAAAACTTTTAAACAAAAACAAGTGAGCTGTTCATACAAAAACAGTTGAGTCCAGATTAATAGTGTGGAGAGAAATAAAGAACTCAGAGCGAACAATTTACCTGTGCTGGACACTCCCATTTTCTTAAAAAATCTTCTTTGGCTTTAGCTAAGAACTCTTTCACTGCAAGAACAGGAGACAAGTGTCATTAAACAATCAGCATTTAGGTGCTGACACAAGGTCAGTTTAACATGTTCAAGCAAATAACTAACTAGGGTATTCAACATCTTCAGGAAACTAAACACAGGAAATTCAGAGGTTCAGGGGAACAAATGCACTATAAGGTCAGGCAAATGTCAAGTACTGTGAAGGCAGGACAATACTTGACAAAACAAAACCTCATCAACAAAACTCAAAACTACACACCTAAGCAAGGAAACTGTAATTCATAAAGTGATGCAAAGAGCTCTTGTGAACTTTATAGAACTGGTCAATTCAAACTCAAGCTATTCTGCATCTCTTTCAGAGTGGGTGGGAGTAAACGGGGAGGTAATACTAATAATAATAGAAATAGGCGGAAGGAGAAGACAAAATACAGACGAGTGCAGGCATTAGAAAGACAATGCATTGTTAAAGTCACAGCAGACATGAGGCGTCCAAAGTCACAGAGTCATTGCAGGTGTCTAATGTCGAGTTGGTTGGTAAAATGTGATATTCTGTTGTTGATATAAATGCATCCTTAGCACAAATAGGCTTTAATATGTGTATTTAGGACTACAGCAGATTAAAGTGTAATATTTAGATATTTGAATAGTAATAATAATAAGCCTTGTGGACATAAGCTGCAGATCAAACGTTCTCTCTGTGATTTAGGACAACTCATGGAAAAATGACCATACCAAAAGTCTCTACAGTTCACCAAGGGTTTGCAGGAACATTCACCCACATGGATAGAAATGATGGAGAAGAGAAAGAGAGGAAGAAACATTTATGAAGTGAAGAACATTTGACAATCAAGTGGATTAAATGCAACACGCAACAAAATGACAAACCATTAGGCCCCTTTACACCAGAAAAAGGTAGAATTACTTTACAGAGAAATATTGTATTTGTTTAAAGATATATTTCTACCATAAATCAATAGCAAAAGGTATTTATAAACTGCTGTACAGCCCCTTCATCAAAATATATATAAATTCTGTACAGCAGATATGTAAACCTGACTGTCTATTTCTCTCTTACCAGTATTGGAGGAGCCTTTTATTATCCTACTCTGAATAGAATACGAAAAAATTCAAATAATTAACGTTAAACTACATTCGTCCGCCACAAAACACATAACAGTGATAGAAAAGACATTGTAAAAAGCACACATAAATACAAAGTTCATACTGGTAAAACAGGATATGAAAATGGAGGGACAGCAATATTAAAAGGATGTTTGTGTCTGACGCAACCTGAGTTGTTTTTTCTTTAGTCTCATAGCTGAGTGGAAATATAGCTAATACCTGAACCTGATGAGGAAGATGAGGAGAAGATCTACATAAAAAGGTTCTAAGTCTGGGCTTTAAAATCTGCCCATGAAAGCCGAATGAACAGAAACACACAAACTTCAAGTTTTACCAAGCAACTGAGAAGAACCGATACAAGCTGAGACACATCCTGCTCAGAGCTCTACATTTTGGCAGACATATTTCAAGCAACAATGCACTTACTCAACTTATCCCAGTTGATGGTGAACTCAGAGATATGAGGCACATCGCTCTCCTGTCCTCTCTGCTCTTGGCTACTCTTGCGATACTTAAATAAACGGCTGGCGAAGGATTGCTCCTTTCCCTGGGCCATCCTGAGACAAATTTGTTATTGTGTGTGATCGAAAAAAGTCTCCCCGGACAAAGCGACCGTTTTCAGACTGACACTAAAGCTTCCTGTATGCAGCCAAGTGCACAGCAAACTGCTTGGCTAACCACACAAAGTTACACTTCCTGTTCATGTCCTCTGCTTCAGTATCAGTGGCCAGCTGTGCGTCTCCTATGTTCTGTGCTGTGTCAACGGATATTTATTGCTCTCCGGTGCTATTGGTGAGATTGTTTTGACAAAAGCATACAAAGATAGCAAAGCACTGAAAAAGGCCAGTCTCCTAAAGTTATGCCATCACTGCCCAAGTGTAATGCATTCAGAGTGCAGATAAGGAAACGGGAGGCCTGTAACACCCACTGACTGACTGAGAGAGATCTTATCTCTAGGTTATCGTGCACTCTGGTGGTAAACTTAAACAATGCAGTTCTTCAAAGAGCTTAAAGTCACCCTGACAAACCGACTCTGGAGCTGCACACTGGTTCCACTGGCCACCGAGACGTCCAGCATTGAAAAACAGAAATCGAAATGACAGAAATATATTGCATTGACACATTTCTGCATCTTGCTGTTTGCATCAGACACTACAGGTGGCCGGAGTCACACAAGGCTCAGGCTGTGTGGACCACTGCCAATCAGAAAGCCGGTTGAGACCAGCGCTCCTCAGACACTAACCATGGCACAGTTCAGTGGATTAGCCTGGTCAAGACTTGACACAAAACACAACGAACAGAGGGCCCTCCGGCTACTGCTGCTGCTTTCAAGTGATCAAGCACTTGTAAAATATCTCGTCAACAGGTGCAGGAGACTAGAAGAGGAGCTGCCTTCCCCTTCCTGTTATAGCATCAACAGAGAACCACTGAAAGAAAGCTGTGATCGAGGCACAACATTTTTGATTTACAGTAAACTTGTTGACAGCTGCTGACTTGACACATAAGAGTTAACCATTAGAGTGGAAACTAATGCTGGTCGTTCTGTAGCCCTTGTTTGGAAAATTAAGCAAAACCAGAATAAAGAAACCCTCAAGTTTATAAGGTTTAAGCATCTTTGTGTTGAGCTTATCTCCAACGTTATCAGGTACCTGTTGGTACCTGTGCCCAGGCCTTGTGCTGCAGCTATAGCAGAGACCAGTGTTTGCTGATGTTGTCTGGCTCCAGGCAGCTGCTCTTGGCTTTGTTTTTTTCAATCAAACATGGTGCCCTGATAACTTCAGCTCAACCTGACACTGTGGGACTAATATATTAAAATAAAACAGCTTTCATCTGGCTAAGTAGAGGATTTAGAAACAGGATGGCGATGCTGTCATTTTGCATCTTTATCTGTGGCACCGTTACAAAGTGAGATCGGGAGGCAGAGATCACGAGGAGGGAGACAACACACCTTGTAAACTGTCCCTACCAAAGATGGTTCTCCTCTGCAGCGCATTAGCACCGTGCTGTCTCTGCTAGCACTGGACAACAGCTGCTAAAGGTTGCTCTCCTCTGACTTCATAATAAACCACTAGCACGCAGCTAACGCTACATGGCTGTCAGGCTAACTTACTTACTATCTAGCTAGCTAGCTGGGTGGGTGGGTGGGTGGGTGGCTTTCTTCCCGGGTGCTTACCGCTTTCCTGTTCATTGCCTTTCTTGGCGGTTGTTGTGTTTCCCATGTTATGCGGACAGGGCGATGCACAGCTGGCTAGGAGCGATGATGGTGGCGGCGGTAGGCTGACAGCAGCAGCGTCCTCCTCCTCCTCCTCCTCCTCCTCCTCCGTTAGCTAGCAACAAATTTCAGCCCGAGCTAGCCGGCTGGCGGAGAGCAACATTAATGTCGTCTCTCCGTGGACAGAAGAAGACGCTCGACGTGCTGTGCTGTCCGCCCTGCTCGCTCGTTATGTCCAGTGTCCTCTGTCTTCAAGTGCAGCTCCGCTGGAACGAAAACATGATCCAGACTTTTCACCTCTGCCTGCTGTCGTTCGCTGCTGCGTTCACGAAAACACGTACGAAACACTCGCGGAATGCTGCCTTCACGTACTAGTCGGACGTGTTAAAATCGGACACATTACGTGTGTTATGGGTAAAAGTAGATTCTGTTTATATTGTCAAGACTCGCATGATGAAATTATTTACCGACTAGGCTATATTACTCTCAGTAGTGAGACTGGTTTCTAAAATGTATCTCCCTTAAAGGTCCAGTGTGTAAGATTTAATATAAAAATATTAATATATAAATATAAAATAATCCTAGTGATGTTTTCACTAGTGTGTTTCATCTAAATTGTACGAACTGTTGTTTTCTTTGCCCTAGAATTGCCCCTTTATATTTAAATATTTTTATTAACATGTGGAGCTGGTCATCTCTACGGAGGCCGCCATGTTTTTAACAGTCGTCCAAACTGGACAAATTAAACACCTTTGAGTTTGTATGACAACTGCAGGCTACCACAGGTTCTCTGTCATGTTCGGAAGGGGAGAACTCCCAGGGAACATTTTTATTCTAGACATCTCAGTTTGAAACAAATGTACAGAATAAATCTTGTTTGACCAAAGGTCAGCTGAGCAACCAGTTAGCAACAAAACTTTAAATTCTTACCTTTTGAACTTTTATTGCGATTTGTCTGCAATATAGTTTTATTTTAGACAGAAGCATCCGTCATTTAGATAGTCAGTCATTTGAGTGACCTCAAACAAATGCAAAATAAGCGTATTAACTCAAACCTTTTTTGGCAATGATAAAAGTAGAGGTAATGTTTTATACACTGAGATGATTCAAGTTTTTGGTTCTGAAACTTTCAGTTTCAATTACTGAGAGCTGGGGAACATTTTTTGTAATATTAAAAATGTTATGAGTCAGGCAAACGGTAAAAAAATGATTTTTGAAAAATATTGAAACTGTTGAGCTTTAGATTCTGTGACACATGAATGACACATGAACGACCTCTGAGCAGGTCACGCCCACTGAGAGCAGCAGCAGGGTTGTTTTAGCACCATGGCCAGCGACACATACACACACACACACACACGCGCGCACACACGCACACACAGTTGCTAGGTAGCTTCTCTCTGTGTATCATGATCAGGAAGAGAAGAGCCGCACTGAAACCTGTGAGCTGAAGCTGGGGGGAAAACTAGCTCTCAGCCCCGGTGAGTGTTCTCCATCTCGGCTCCCAGTCTTGCTAACCACAGTAAATGAAACACGTTGACTTGGCTGGTGCTCGCTGCGGCTCACTTCAATGTGACGCTGGTGCCAGGTGGAGAATGCAAACTTCAGCACTTCCTCCAGAGCTCCCCCCTCTCTCACGGAGCGAGTGGTTTTGCCCGCGGACTCGCTCCAGCAGCGCGCAGGAGAAGAAGCTCCAGAGCCTTGTTTCTAGTGTCTGTCAGTCCTCCGTAGTAACGCATGCTCACGCTATAAACACCGGTGTAGTGTTGTAGATACTCCCGGGTCTTGGTGTCTCTCCGCACGGCGACCGTGTGGTTCAGACGAGCCCAGCAGAGGAGCTGGTGCACCGCCTGTGTCTGGGATAAAGAAGGTAACCGCACTGCTCTCCATCCTTCGCACGGCAGCGGCTAAGCTAACAGAGCAGGGTCATTATGTTTCCTTGGAGTCATTACACGGTGTCTCACTCAAGGGGTTTTACTTCTGGTGAAAGGGAAACATCCTCATTCTCTACATATTTAAACCATAACGTTGTCGCGTTTCTACAGTGGACTTTACTGTGTAGCATTGACTGGCTTGTTTCCCTGCCTGCTCCTTCCACCTGCTTTATAGAAGTGGCTAACCTGGCGTTAGCTTCAGCTTGCTAGCATTTAATACATAGCAATGACACATATTCCCAGGCTGTGTCACGTTAAATCACGAGCGCAACACGTTTTCCTTGAAACCAGTAATAGCCAATACACTAAAATTCCAGATTTAAGAAATCCATTTAGTGCTAATCCCAAAATACACAGTATCTGTGAAGGGGGTGGGGGTGGCCTTCCATCCTCCCTGTGATCTGGAAGATACCATATTGACTGATTTTCATTGACAGGCTCCTGACAGTAGCAGAGCTTCTTAGCAATCAGGGCTAGCTTTGCAAAAACCTGCTCTGCATGCACATGCAAGTCTGTTGCTCATGTTTAGCTTTCACAGTCTGGTGGATTGCATGATGGGACATGGCGTTTGAAGAGTCCTTTGATATATTCTTGTCTGTCTTTAAGTCCAGTGTGCCACTCTCACACCACAGCCCCCTGTAGATGACCATTACTGACAGATTACATAATAATACCAACAGCACTATGAAATGCTGCTCTTAATAGGGATGTGATGATTTATTTTCATGTATCTTGGATTTTTTAGATTTATAGGTTTACACATCTTTTGATGCCTTAAAATTTGCAAATGAGAAACAGTGTGGAAAGATATTTATGTTTTGTGCCATCCTGTCTCTGACATTGGAATAAGTTGTACCTTGAGACAGCCTCCATTCTGTAGAAAATAATAACAATCTTGACATGACTCTTAGTGACCCAAACGTCTTATCTGTTCCCTCCCATCCCTTCACTTACACTGAGATGTTTCTATTGTATTTGAAGCTTTTCAGTTGGACTCTTCACACGACCGAGAATCTTCTCCGTATACAGATCCATGTTACAACTAAGACATAGGACACTGTGACCCTCTAAACCACAACACCAAATATTATATATTCTTTATGTTATATAGTAATATGCAAAATATGTATATCCTGTATGAGGATATAAATGATTGATAAAATGCCTCCTTCCTCCAGTGATCAGATCTCTATATTCAATTAATCACGAACATCATTTGTGTTTGTGAAGGTATAATTATTTAGTTTTAGTTTTAACACAGTCTGAGTTTACAGATGTGTCCATTGTACATGTGGTTGTGTGTGTGTTGCACCTTGTTAAGTCATATAAGACAAAGTGAGATTTGTGAATATGGGCTATACAATAAAATTTGATTGATTGATCGACAACACCTCCACACATTTATAGCTAACTTTCTTCCAACAGTGCCATGCTTTGGAAGAAACATCTGTGTGTTCATTTACAGACTAAGGTCAGGCAAGGTTGTTGTGACTATACACTGAATTTTGCATTGGTCCATTTTGCCTGCATCACTGTAGATTCTTTCTGATGTAAAGTTAGGATCAACATTGGGCTGTTTGTTGGTGTATTTCAGTCGCCTGTGGGCTGACAGCTCCCACACTCGTTCCTCCTCATATCTGGAAAAAACCATGAAGCCTGTGTTAGGTCACTGGTTCCAGCTAAATTTAGTTCCTCTGGCAATTCTAAACCAACTACTTTCCCATGAAAGCAGTCTGTAAACTCAGCTCAGATTTTTCCTGGGAGCACAATGTAGGGGTCGTGGCCAAATAGATAATGAAAAGTAGAGGCACTTTTTATAAAAAGGAACTTGCAAGTTCACAGTATCTTTTACAGATGGTCTTTTGTGCCTTTTAAATGTGAGAAAACATACTGTGAAAAGGTTTTGTGTACTATTTGTAGGACAGAAGCTCAATTTTCGGCAAAAGATTCCTTTGTTTACATTTGGTTTCCAGTCGAGGATGTGTAATAGTTCATGTCTTCTTAGCCAGGGTCTCTGTTCTTTTAAATGGTCATAGGGTCATACGTACCCCGAGGTCCCAGCCCTGCTGTAATGACAACATCCAGGCACAGCGCATGTACTGTAGAGAAAAGAGCTTGTGTCTGCAAACCCTGCTCTTCAACACAAAGCTAAGTGGTGTTTCCCAGAGGGTCTCTATTGATTCAGTATTTCACAACAGCTTTCAAGATGTAGTTTTATGTAGGGCAGTGAGAACATAAAACACACCCCTCAGGGGATGAACTTCTGGTTGTTGAAGGGACTTGTGTAATAGGTGTGACACCACTGAACCTGCTGCTTTGGTTCCTTTGGCTCACACTCATTGTAGTGCTGTTTGTGCTGTCTTTGCAGCTTTGCCTCTGATATAAAAGAGGATACAGTATTTTTGAAGCGCCATCGTCTAATGATAGTGGTGATAATATGTGTGCCAAGATCAATTTCTCTATGGCGTTTTGAAATTGAGCCACTTTTCAGTAAATGTGTGACAAAACAAATAAATATTTCTGAAAGAGAACACAGGATTCGCACAGGATTATAAGGGGAAGACTATGCATAACAATGGCCTGAAAGACAGACATGTATTTGTTATGCATTCAAGCCAGTGACAGAGTGCTGCAGATGAGCAGCATGTAGCGCTGACTCTCTGTAATAAAGCCTTTCTGTGTGTGTGTGTGTGTGTGTGTGTGTGTGTGTGTGTGTGTGTGTGTGAGTGAGTGAGTGAGTGAGTGAGTGAGTGAGTGTGTGTGTGAGAGAGTGTGTGAGTGAGTGAGTGAGTGAGTGTGTGTGTGTGTGTGTGTGTGTGTGAGTGAGTGAGTGAGTGAGTGAGTGAGTGAGTGAGTGAGTGAGTGAGTGAGTGAGGAGTGAGTGAGTGAGTGAGTGAGTGAGTGAGTGAGTGAGCTCAGCATCCATGGGAGCTCTGCCAATTCAGCTCTGCTCTTTTGTCCCTCTGGCGCACTCTGTTGGAGAAAAGGTGTTATTGCTCCGTCACAGGATTAATTTCATACTAAGAGGAAGGGATTTAGTCAAGATTTTGTAGTTAATACTTTACTGAAGGATTAGATGTGATTATATTTTCTAGAGCTCGCAGTGAAATGTAACCTTACGGAAGGTTTAAAAAAAACCTGTTTCGAGGATGTTCTAATATTGATACTTAACAAAAAAATATCAAAGCAAAGCAGCTTAATGAAGTGTAGTATTTTATATAAGACAGTGCAGTATGGTATGTATAAGTGCTGAAACATTTCTACTTCATTAGAAAGGAACACTTTTACCAATATCGGAAATATGGAAGAGATTTGACACACAAAGATGTTTTACCCAAATCCAGTGAAAGAAAAGGAATACAAATGAACAAAAAGACAAACATGTACTCTTTACA